TAAATCACGAATTGTTGTTGGCAATTGGTAACTCAAAATTGCTTGCACTTTTGCAGGGAGAGGTCTTGAACCTGCAGCATTTATGAGATATCCAAGAAATTCTATTTCTTCAACTCCAAACACAGATTTGGATATATTGATGCATAAACCATATTTGTCTAATCTTTCAAACACTAGTTTTAGGTGTTTACTATGCTCCTCTTCTGATGATGAGGCTATTAATACATCATCCAAGTAAGGCAACACAAAATCAAGGCCTTGGAATACTTCATGCACAAAACGCTGAAACGTTGATGGTGTGTTCCTAAGTCCAAAACTCATGACATTAAACTCGAATAACCCAAATGGAGTAATGATAGCTGTTTTGGGCTTATTTTCTTCTGCAATTGGGATTTGGTAATAAGCTTTTAGGAGATCTAATTTGGAGAAAATGGATTTCCCACTCAAAATGAGATGAAAATCTTCTATCCTTGGTATGGGATACCTGTTTGGGATTGTCTGAGCATTTAGTCGTCAATAATCCCCACAAGGTCTCAGTGTTCCGTCTTTTTTTGTTTACTAAATGTAAAGGACTGGCCCACTGGGATTTTGATGGTCGGATAATATCATTATCAAGCATAAACTGGAATTCTTGCTTTGTCAGTTTCAGTTTTTTTTGCATCTAGCTGTTGTGCACAAGCATATACAGGTTGGCCTTTTGTAAAAATATAGTGTTTAACATTATGCTTTGTTTGTTTATTTAGCACATTAGGTTTAGTGATATTTGGGTACTGACGTAACAATTCAGCAAATTTGAAAGAATTATTTAAGGTAGATATAACATGATCAACACCAATTGACATTATATCACTTGAGACTTTAAGTTGAGTAATGCCATCGATTAACTGTTTCTTTTTTATATCAATTAATAAATGAAATTGGTTCAAAAAATCTGCACCTAATATGCCTTTGCTTACCTTGGCAACGATGAACATGGCCATTGAAATGGGCGTCTCAGTCCTAAATCTAAAGTAAGCACCTTTATACCAAAAGTTGGTATTTCTGTCCCATTAGCAGCATATAATTTGTACTCACAAGATCCCTTTGTTATAGAATTTGCTGGCAGCAATGATACATCTGCTTCACTGTCCACTAAAAAATTTAGTCCTGAATTTCTATCCGTTACAAATAACCGGAACTTACGGCTATTCATGTGTTTAGCAGCAGAGCTAGCCGCTGAATCTACTGCTGGCTGGAGTTTTCCGTCTGTTTCCAGCTGCATGGAGGTGTACACTTTTCCGGAAAACACTTTTTGCCAAATTTAAAGTGGAAATAGCACAGTCTGCCTTTTGGACTGTACCGTTTCTGAGATCTGCTGCGAATCCTATGCCTGTGACTGGGACACTAGAGTTCGTGATCTCGAATGCTGTACACTGAGCGAAGCTACATTTAGGCAGATATTTTGGTGAGAAGTTCATTAACTGTGAGGGAATTATTACTTGCACTTGCAAGTTCCATGCGTGGACCCATTTCTGCAATTTTATCAGCCATTGTGGCTAATTTTTCAAGACTCTCATCACTGACTATAAGGATATTTTTGACTGCGTCAGGCAACTTTTCCATCCATAAGAGTACGTAACACTTTATCTTAGATACATCGTTATTATCACCAAGCGTTCTCATCTTTCGAAGCAGTTGAACTTGGCTTCATATCGCCAAGTTCTAAACCAGTCAATAATCGTTTTAATGCGCTTATTTTCACTCTCTTTAAATAAGTTTGTTAGCCTTTCTTTTGCTGCTGAGTATATTTAGTTGCAGTTTCATCTTTGATAATGTTCCCATATGTTTTCAACAAACTTAGGATCCAGCTGAGCCACTAAGTAGTTAAACTTTAGTTTCTTCTGACGTAATTCCTGCAATTTTAAATTGGGCTTCAACAGTATAGAAACATATCTCTGGTCTATCAATCCAGAATGGGGGAATCTTTACACTCACTTTGCTTGCTTCCAGCTGCACATCACTGCACATGCCATGACTATCCTAATCAGGGCATTTTTGTGCTTCACTTTCTTATATCCGAAAAAACATTCATAACACTTCAAAAGAAAATCAATAATCACAAGACACTTGTTCTGGAATGTTTAGGACATTGTCCGGAAAAACACTAAAATAGCAGCAGAAAGTCTCTTCTACTCTGGAAATTATGTGGATGCATTAAGATTATGCACATTGCAGTGTCCTGCACACTAGAGTCACCAAATGTTCAGGTTATCCATGTCCGGAGAGAAATTGTTTTAGTGATTAAACCAAGATTGAAATGATCCTGTTACACTAAAACAAATCAGCAGAACTAAACTGAAAAAATGCAAGAGTTTTATTTTTACACATGCTCCACACACACACAGTCCAACACATAGCTCCTGACTGCGAGACAGACAAACTCTCTCACAGTTCAAAGTTACAGTTGAACTGCAGTTAAAAATACACAGTGAAAAATTAATAAACAATTAGAAATTAGAAAACAATTAGAAAAATTACCAAAACACTTTACAAATTAGTTTAGAATGCTTACAATTAACCAGTATTTTTCCTTTACAATTAATCATTATTTTATAATTTATTATTAATTTGTTACAATTTCAAGCTAGCAGGCGAGCCATCTTCGAATAACTGCTTCCTGCATAGTGCAGCCATCTAGTGGTGAGATGATGAAGTGAAAGTTGTTCTAACAGCGTCATAACTATTCGGTTATTGCACTGAAATGCTTATAAAGCTCGTGCGAACAATTTTACTTCTTTGCCTGTATTCCTTATATATCACTCTCTTACACTCTCGTCATTGTGACGTACCATCGGTGTCATCTGGTTACTTCCTGAAATTTGCATATGATTTTTGAAGATGTGTATAGTGATTTTACAGGTGATATATTTATTTTAGAGTTCGATTTCCGCGTGACTCCGAATTATCCTTAATTTATGGACATGAGTGTAAATAAGTGTATGGAATACAAAATAACATTGGCAATGTTGCCCTATCACCTAGGAATTGTGGTGATAATCTGTCAAAAATGAGGCCAAAAATCTACCAAATTTCGGGCCATGCTGATAGAAATGAATACAGTTTGAGTGAATGAAAAATAAGGACAGGCTATCAGTGCTGTTTTATATTTGATTATGCTAGCAAAATAATGACTACTGACAAATGTGAAAGCTAACTGCTTCTTTTAATGTGTAACGCCAACCACTGAAGGACATGATATGTCAGGAGAATCCCATCAATGTATTCCTTTTTAAAGTTGCATAATTTAATATATAATATAATAATGCAATAAATCTTGTAATTATGTAGGAAATATAAGTACATATAATTTCTTTGTATTTATCTATGAAGTGCTGCTTTTCCTGCACTTTAGTATGTTAATGTTATCAATTTCTTCAGTTTTGATCAACGGATGGCGGGTAAGTCACCTATTGCAAGAATACTGAGAATAATTTATCAAAAAGCTTGAGAAAATATAGGTATTATAATGGAATTTTGAACTTAATATTCTTATGAAAGGATATTTACATTTTTATTTTTATTTCTTGATTAGCAAATTAAATGGGTTTTCATCCGCAGAGAACCCGTTGGCGCAGTTGCAGTTTTACTCACCAAGCTCGAGCCGAGCTGTAAGCGTGATATTTTGTAAATGTGGTTTTTTGTGATGTAAATTCAAGTTAGCAGACAATGGTAGTAAAAATTCAGGTTTAATCCTAGTATCCGGTGCACACGGGATTTGGCTACTTTTGGCGACTTTATGATGAGCAGTAAAAACGGGACATATACAATGAGTAATTAACGGGTCATTCAAAGAAAATATGTAGTTAAACTTAGTATATACCATGTATATAGTATATATACTATGTGGTGTATAGTATATATATAGACGTTCTTTGGATCATTTTTGGTGTTGGCGATAATTTTCAGTCGCGCCAAGGCTGCACCGTATACTAGGATTTTACCAAAATTCACAGATAATAAGTATGTAGATGTAAAAACTAACAGGTTAAACCTGATACACGAAAATAAATTTGTATTAAATTCAAGTTAGCACAGAAACAATGTATTAAACACAACGGGAAGTAAAAATTCATTTAAAAAATAACAATTAGTATTCTTATACTTATGTTTACAATTATATTTATATGTTATTTTCTCTAATTCATATAGAATACTAATATTTCTATTAAAAGTGTCTTTTTTCACTATTAAGTACTTTGCCTGTTGATTGATGTATTTCGGTAAGACCCATGCCCATGTAATAAATTTATGAATGTTATGAATGCATGAACTTTAATACATCCATTTTACATAGTTTTATTTATTTATTTTGAAGTTACTTGCATGCAGCTTTTCATAATATATTTCACAATACAAATAACTTTCAACAGTAATCAAATTTTCTTCAGTAGCATTTTTAAGAAAACTAGAACTTTATACATTTTAAAATTATTATAGGGGTTGGAAACCTCATGGTTCTGCGTGCTTACAGCTGTTAATAATCAAGAACATAACGTTAACAGCCATGTTACAAATTGGCATTCACCCCTCCCGCCATAATTTCTTCCTTTGATCCCGAACTGACGACCCGAGAACCGGCATCTTTCGATGAAAACTTCTTTAATTATGCGAAAATATTTCTATCTATTCGTTTTAAAAAATTCAGAAAAAATAATAATAAGGAAAAAAATATTATAAATCTCAAAATGCGAACAACGACAACCTTCGCATAACCGAATAGGATGAATTAACTAGGTTACCAGGTTTGAACTATTATCGCCAAAGTTGGCGATGTTTACATTTACCGGGTTCTCTGCGGAAGTGCTTCCAATTAAATTTTTGACTTTTAAATAAAATCCACTCATGGTACAAAATTTTAATCTATATTATGATAATTAATACAAAGTTTTCAGGAATGATAATATTTAACAAACATGTTCATGTGTAAATTTAAAATCTTATATTAAGGTACTTTCACATACCTCGAGTTGCCACAGATTCCCTAATGATCACAGTTCCTCCTGGCTTCAGTATTCGTGCTATTTCTGCAAATACTTCAGCAGGATGAAATGTAATTGTTGGAGTAAGTGTTCCACAATATATGGTATCAAAAGATGAGCTTGCATGATCAGCTAAGAAAAAAATTAATAAATTAATATCATCAAACTGATACTGGTATAAATACAGTAATTTAAAAAAAACTAAAACCTACAAACAACTAGACGTTCCAAATGTTCAACTGCCACCATTCCTTGGTCTCCAACAGCTTGCTGAAGCTCTTTAACTACTTCCTCTAGATGTTCTTGTTTTACATACGATCCCCATAACAATAGTATCTTTTGTCCACTTGACGGATTAGCAGCCATCTAAAAATATACATTTAGTTATACAGTCAAAAGTCGTTAATCCGGACTCGTCGGGATTTCGGCGATTCCAGATTATCGATTTTTCCGGATTATAGATCATCAGTTTAAATCTGATAAAATGGCATGCAGAAATTATAAAATTAAAAATATGAAACCGTATTTTACGAAATAAAGAACAATTATGATCTAAAGGGTATCAAAATTTACAAAAAAAAACCCCCTTAATATTTATTTGTTTACTTTATTAAACATTTCTTTCAATGTAAGTTGTTTAAGTTGCTTCATTTTTTATGTGACAATACATTCTCTTTAATTCTATAAACAGACATAATTTCTTGTTCAGTTACAAAGTTCCGCTGTTCAAGTCCTATAATTGCTGTGTCGACTAATTTGTCAATCGAAATTTTTTCGTTTTCAATAACCTCTATCACTTTCTTCGCTATCCGAAGGGTGATTTAAATCATATCAAAGACGAGATGAAATAATACATTGAGTAAGCAATTATAAGCCAAATAAAATAAAAACATCTGCCCTTAAGATAAGGATAGTGCTGACAGATCAACTTCCAATTCATTGCACGCAGGGGCAGAGTTAAAGATAAACAAAGGATATGCTTTTATCCATTTTTTTGCAGCAATTCCACTTTTTGTTTAATGGACTCCGAAAGATACTTTCGCTTTGTATATCCTTTACATATTAGTAAATATATATCGGAAATTCTATTTGACATAATCAAAAGTTCAAGCTTACTTTTCTAAAATTTTTCTAACAGTCTGCAAAAAATAATAATCCGGATCCAATTCGAAGATTAAGGAACAACGCAATCTGCAACATTAAATGAAATAGATAATTAGATAATTTTAGCTTAGCTCAGCTATCCCGTCCGTTATACATTAAACGCGCATTCGTAAACGTATTTTGCGCACGCGCAAATTCGCAGTGGTAGAAAGTTTGTAGCTTTGAGGTCCGGATTATAGATCATTCCGGATTATGGGTGTCCAAATTAACCACTTTTGACTGTAATTAATTTAGTTTTATACCATACTAGATGTTATTCATACACAAATTCTAAATCAGAATTTGGGAAGGGGCACTTGGATCATATTTTGAGTGTACATTAAACAGTAAATAAGCACATTCTTTCAAATACTGTCAATTTACATTATAACCTATAACATGTTATAATATATATGAATTATTTACATCCCCTCTTGGGCAAATATATGAAAGGATGTCTTAACAAATTATCATCAAACTGAATGCTACGCAAAAGTTGAAAATTTATTCATTATGTTATTCCATTAAAATCTTATAAACCATATATATAAAATAAACAACCATGAAATTAATTATTTTAATTTGTGTGTTTACTTATAGTTAAAATAAGTGACATGTCAACAAATTAAATTTTATTTAACAAAAAGTATCCATACTTAGAAATTTGGGTACTTCCTGATTATTCATAGCCCTGGTTTTATCTTTTGGTAGAACTGTCTGTTTTTGGTGTATTTTTAAGTATGAATGTCATAATAAATAATCCATACATGCATGTACCATATACCTGTTTGGGTACATGTGAAATTATACACTTCATATTTATTGGTTATTTTGCCAAATAGTGATTTCATAGATTTTTGAGTACTTTCCTCTTCTATGGGCACCATGAAAAAAACACTTAAAATGTATAGTAACATGCTGAAGATAGAAACAGTGTGATTAGCTAAGCAACATTGTGATTAACTAAGTCATCTTGGCTCTATGAGTGAAACTCAGCCATGTTATGATTTGCAGCCTTTTTTCAGAACTGCACGAAAAATAATTTGATAGATAATTTTCTTTGAATTTGACTAAAAGCACTTTTTAGAGAGGAAAACAAAAAATCACAATCTGGAATTAAGATAAAGAGGAGGCAGTGAAATTATTATGGCATAAAGGAATTCTTCATTGGCGAAGATTTTGTAAAAATAATCATGAAACGATGTTGTTTCTTACCTATTACGATACACTAAAACGGCAATGCAAACTTAAGATCTTGCCTAGGAAAAATAAGTGTCATATCTCACACTTGATTTGAAGAGTTGCACCTAAATTTCCTTACAGCTGTAAAATTAGCTGATAGTACCATGAACTGATCTCAGTTGAATTTTGTAATATGCAATTAAAAATAAACCACAATACTGTGGTCGTTGACCTGGAACAATTACATGTGGGAGGTTTGTGCTCATGCCTTGTTATGTGGACAATGTCAAAATTGATGGAAATAACAGAAGGGTAGAAGTTGACAAAAAAATCTGGTACTTTTCCGTTTTGCCGGCGCAAACGATAAAGTCGCCAATAATTGTACAACTGATGCCAAACGGAATATCTTCGCTGTAACCTTTTACGGTTCATTTTAAAAACAAGTTGCAACCATTTCTGGCTGATCTTTAGAATATGGTAACTGGTAGTTTGGCGACATTTTGGAGGCGATAAAGGTTACTACCTGGGACTTTGGTAATAATGTGAGCAGTACTCAGTTCTGATTACGCATTATTTGTGTGAGGGAAATGAGAGGATCATGGGATATGTCATGTGATATTAATGGACGAATTACGGTTCTTTAATCGGAAAAGGGGGGAAATCGGGGAAAAAATCTGGAAATTTTGTATTTGGCTTTATTCTGTGTTGTGTGAAACAGTGTTCGTTAATTTTTGGATCCCATGGCCCTAACTAAAGAGAATTCGAAATGGGTATTTAGTGGGATTGAAAGGGGTAGTAATAAGTGTTTCTTTAAGGTTGTGTGAGATAGAAGTAAAGATGTTTTATTAAGTTATTTATTTTACCTGGTACCTTGGTGTGAACTATAAGTATGGTTTTAAAGATCCTGAAACAGAAATAAGAAAAGTTTATCGGACACGTAATCAAGATTCTGAAGAAGAATAGGTAAGTTAGTATTTTTAATTATTTGAGGATATTATTTTTATGCATTTTTCTAAATGTAAGGTGGAAGTAAAGTAATTTGCGTAAACGTGCATGGAAATAATTTAAATATTTGACACTAAGTATTTGTAACCATTTGTAATGTTTTGTATGAATTAGTTAGTGACGTTTGTAGTATAATAGATAATGTAGAGGTAAAAGTTTTTGGATATTTTATTTTTTTATACGGGGAAATGTTCATATTTGGAAAGGGTATATACTTTTTCGCGATCAGGTAATTTCATATATGTTCTTTTACGGGTTTAAAGATTCAGAAAATTGTTATGCATTTTTGTGAAATTTTTCTAATTTATGAGAAAAAAAGCAGTGTGTACATGGATATCGTGAAGAGTGTGTGCGCAATGCCATTTTGTGCAATTCTGGGATGTTTTTTTAAATAAAAAATAAGTCGACGTGTACATGGTTTAGTGATATTTTAATTAAATGATAGTTATTTTGTGAATTTTATGTTGTAGGAATTTGGTATACGTTTAAGGTGAAGTAAATGTGCATGGAAATAATTTAAATATTTGACACTAAGTAATTTGTAATGCTTGCGGTATGAATTCGTTGGTGACGTGTATAATATAATAGATGATTTAGAGGTAAAAGTTTTTGGATATTTTATTTATTTTATATGTGGAATGTTCATATTTGGAAAGGGTATATACTTTTTTCGATCAGGTAATTCATATATGTTCTTTTTACGGGGTTTAAAGATTCAGAAAATTGTCATGTATTTTCGTGAAATTTTTCTAATTTATGAGGAAAAAAGCAGTGTACATGGATATAGTGAAGAGTGTGCCCATGCCATTTTTGGTAATTCTGGATGTTTTTTAAAGTAAAAATAAGTCGGCGTGTACATGGTTTATGTGTATGTGTTATTTTGAAAAACGCGTAAGGAGTATGGTATTGTGCACTTTTTCCCAATTTTGCCAGCGAATATTTGTCATGATTAAGCAGTTTGTTAGATAAAATTTCTAGCATAAGTGTAATTCGGCTAGTAGATTGTTGGAAGAAGTGTTCAGTAGATAAAAAGAAAAGAAACATGTCTTTACTTCATGAAGACAAAATGGCGGTGGGAAAAAAAAATAGAGGGTTGCTGTAGAAGAGTTGGTCGCCAAATTTTCGCCAAAAAAACACCAATTTACCATAATGTAAAGATCAACCCCATTTCTTATCAGATTGATTGTTTCTTTCAATACTGGCATACCGTTACATAGAATTTAAAAAAAAAAAAAAAAGATAGTTAAATTTATACCCTAAGACCATTTGTGGTAATTAAGTCAGTTAGGATGCAATCACACAGCTCACTCGAAGGCGAAAATATAGGAAAGGCAAAATTAAGGGTTAAATTCATTAATTCTGATGAGAATGCACTAGCGAAGTAAAGCGTTGTGGTTTTACACAATTTCTGAGCAAGCTATTTGTACGAATTGAAATAATTCTTGCATTTAAACTTGTATTCCAAATTAAGATTTAACTGAAATTAATGTAGTTAATTACTGAGAGAATTATATTTTTGTAGCTAGTTTACATGAGATGAGATTACTTTGGGTTACGTGATACGAACTGGCGAATCAGGATGTATAACCATGAAAGCATAGTAAATTCTTAAATTAATGTCTTTTTATAAATTTATTGTCTTTATTTATTGGAATTTACAAAATTTTAAATGATATTAAAATGTTTATGCCTTCAAAATAAAAAAAATCTTAGAACTAAAATTTTTTTATTCGTATACTATATGCTATGCGCCAGCAAAAAAGTACCAAAAATTTTTATGAGAAGAAAGAGTAATGTTTGATGCGTTCTTCCATTTTGGAAGCCTATATAGAGAAACAGAAGCATGTTTTCTTGCAGGCATTTCGGATCGCTCAACTAAAACTTTACTTAATGTGACTGAAAAAAAATGTTGCAGATGACAGTACACTTTTTTCTGATTGTTGAAAAGCATACAAAACAGATGATTTGAAAGAAGCAGGATATAATCATCTTACAGTTAACCAAACACAATTTCGTAAACCCAAATACTAGATGCC